TGATTTTTTTTTTTTTACACCTGGGTGGAACCCTCCAAAAATGTCTATCAGGTCAAGTCGCCTAATTGTAGAGTTTAGTTCTGTAGCTTCCTTGTTAATCTTCTTTCCCTAACTTTATCAGAGAGTTGTGAATTAAAGACATCTACTATGATTGTTGAGCCTGTGATTTCTTTTTCCATCTTTTGGAATATTTGACTGACGAATTTCACGGTCTCTCAGGTGCATAAATATTTATCATGCTCACTGTTTCCTAGTTGACTAATCCCTTGAGCATTATATAGTTCCCTTTCTTATCTCTTGTTATGGCTTGCACCTTGAGATACATTTCATCAAAGATTAGGATTGAAACCCCTGCTTTTTTTTAATTGTCGTTTGCTTGGTATATTTTTCTCCAGCCTTTGATTCTCAGCCTTGTCTTCAAGCTTGAACTGTGCCTCTTGTAGGTGGCAGATCCGTGGGTTATGTTTTCAAAGCCAGTCCACTAGCCTCTGTCTTTTAATGGGTGATACCAGACCATTGATATTCAGAGTTATACATCTGTGGACTCTGTGATGTCAACTTGTGGCTTTTATGCTGTTTTCCTGCCTCCCTTATCAGTGCATTGTGAGAGTGTGTGTGGTTCACTCTTGCCTTCTTTTCACCACAGAGCAAATGTTATTTTGGGGGCTGTATTCAATGTATTGACCTCTGGGTGAAGTTGCTCTATGTGGTGGTCTACTATTTGTGCTTGGTGAGTTTTGTCCTTCTAACTACAGTGGGTCCACAAGGATTTATGGTAGAGCTGGGTTTCTTTTAATGTATTCTTTGAGTTGTTCCTTGTTCCAGAACACTATTACTTCTCTATCTTGATAGATAATTTGGCTGGAGAAAGGATTTGGGGGTTTGCTTTCAACTTTCAGAAGATGTTAGTCCACTCTCTCTTCTTATTCATGGTGTCTGCTGATAAGTCTGAGCATATTCCTATTTGAGTACCTTTATAGGGAACTGCCCTTTCCCCTCCCCTAGCCTCTCTCATTATTTTCTCCTTTCCTCAAAGTTGGATAGCTTAACTATTATATGCCTTGGCAAATTCTTCCTGGGATTTAGACTAGCTGGTGTCCTTTGCTTCCTGAATGATTGCTTGATTCTCATTCATTAAGCTGGGGAAGTTTCCTTTAGGAATTCCCTCACTATTTTTGCTGTTGACTTCTTTGTTGTATCTTGTTCTGGTAGGCCAATTATTCTAATGTTGTTCCTACTCAGAGTATCTGACATTGTTCCCAGGTTTTATTTGACTTCTTTGATTATCTTATTTGATTGTCTTTACCACTTGTTGAAGTCTGCCTGGTTACCCTCAAGGTCACTGGTATGGTTTTCAGCTTCTTCTAGCCTGTTGGTGAAGCCTGTTAATGTGTTATTTGATTTTGTTACTCATCCCTTATCTCTTGTATTTCCCTTTGGTGTGTGGCCTTTATCTCCTCTATCATTTAATCCTTTTTATATAATGCTTCCTTAACATACTGTATGACTCCTAGCAGCATTCTGAAGTTTTTTTCTGTGGTAGCTCAACTTCTGCTGGTTCTATGCATATCACTAGATTCAGGATTTCCTCTGACATTGCGTTTTGTTTCTCATGGCTTCATTTTGGTTGTTGAGGTTGTTGTGGATTGTTGCTATCTATGTGTTGTTTTGGAGGAGCTTGGTGCCTTTTTCCAGGGAGTCAAAGAGCCCTGGGCTCTCTCATTGTGAGGCTGATAGGAATGCTTCTGTGGAGTGCCTATAGCAAACTGCATTAGGGGGTCAAGCTACTTCTTCATCTCACTAGGGTTTTACTCTCCTTAGACAGTGGGATTCTCTATTTGGAGGGCAGTTCTGGTGGCCTTCTCTGGGCACACAGGTGGGGGCTTTGCAGGCAGTGAGGGCTGTTCATGGGGGTGCTGGACAACAGTGGGAGAAGGCCCACTGCCAATGGGGGTTGTGGGGGGGGAGTGCTGGGCAAAGGCAGGGAAAGCCCCACTGATGCTGGTTGAGGTGTTGGGGATACCACGGGAAAAGTCTCACTGACAGAGTTGGAAGTGCTGGGCAAAGGCAGAAGAAGTACCTCTGATGAGGGAGGGGGGTGCCAGGAAAATGTGGAAAATGCCCCGCTGCCATGGGTAGAGGTGCTGGGCAAAGGTAGAGAGGGCCTTGCTGCCATGTGAGGGAGTGCAGGGCGATAGTCCTAAAAGCCCCACTGCCACAGGGTGGGGCGCCAGGCAATGGTGGAACAGCTGCCTCAGCCGTGGATAAAGATACTGAGTGGTGGTGGGAGAAGCCACCACTGCTGCATGGGTAGGAGGTTCCAGGAAATTGTAGGGAGAGCCACTACAACTACAAGTGACTAAACTTACAGCCGGCAGACTGAGGACAGCATCTAGCCACGGCTGCTGGGGCTGCAGGTGGGTGGTGAGCAGTAACCCCAGCTCAGTGCTGGGACCTGCCACCATGTGGGGAGAAGGGAGCTGGGGGAGAAGCAAGCACAGTGTAGAATGTCACAGGCAGATAGCCTCCATATGGGGTCCAGCAGAGAGTGTCACAGGAAGATAGCCTCCATATGGGGTCCACCGTATGGGGGCTGTGGGGGACTCAAAAGAGCAGCTGGCTGGCTGCAGTGTGGTGATCATGTTGAGGATTGGCCAATTGTCAGGGTCAAGAATGGGCCAGGGAATCCCTGGGACCAGTTCACAGATACCTGGGGCTCCAGAGCAAGGCTAGATGGGGGGAAGGTCACCCCCCATACTGAGTAAGTATTATGGGTTGTCCCAGGCATCTTTTTACTTACCAGAATCCTCCCACTCATCCTCCTTGACACTAGGTTCACTTATTGTCATGGAGCTCTCAACGTGGTCTGCTTACCTGGGTGCCATCTTGCCAAACTCCCAACTTTCCTGATTTTAAACCATGCAGTATCCCCTGGTAGAGATTCCTCATGAGCATAATTAAGTGTTCTGGAATACCCATTATTCACAGACAAAATTCCTAGCAATGTAGAGTTTGTCAATGTCACCAAAATTATAAGTGAAATACTCTTTGACCTATCATCATTCCATTTGTAACCATTTATCCTACATACATATTCACATATTTTTGAAATGAAATATACACAAGGTATTAATTGCTTTTATTAATAAAGATTGGAAAGAACTAAAATGTCAATATTAGAGTGGTTAAATAAATTATAGTATAGTCATACAATACAGATATAAAACAGAATAGGGAAGAACATGATGTACTGATACAAATAAGCTTCCAAAATAAGAGCTAAGTGAAAAAGTAAAAGGAAGAATAATATCTAATTAGCTACCTTCGGTATCAGAACAAAGAAAACTGGAGATCGATATGCATTGCCTATACAGTCACAAGAAAACTAAATAATAACTTTCAAGACAGACTAGGTTACACTGTGTTCACAAATAATTTTTAAAAGTCAGTGGCTTATGTAACAAAATTTTATCATTTAAAATTCATGTCCTTAATAGATAGGCTGCAACTCTGTCCTATGCCATCCTCACTGTGAAACTCAAGTTGATGGTTCAAACCCTAAAGGAACTTTTCTGGTTTCATGACTGGGAAAGAGGGCATCAAGGACCTAATTGTTCAAGCTTCCACATGGGTGTGAACCAAACAATATTTTTGCAGACATTTCTTTGAGCAACTCGAATGACCACCACTGAGCTCTGCAGGGCAAGGAGGTGTACTCTGCAGGAAGGGGGCTGCAAGTGACATGGTGATGCCTGCTAACAATAGGACAGCAGTGCCCCGCCCTCCCCCAGGATTACCTGTGGGATGTAATTGTGTGAACTAGGTAGATGGGGAACAAGAGACTTTTCAGTCAGAATATATAAATATACCTGTGTGTGTACAAATATATTATCTACTCATACAAATAAATGATTGTTAGGGAATTGCAGCTGCGTGTCTTCTATTTTGGTGGTGTGAGCATTCAGCTGATAGAATTTCCATAACAATGTTTCTGATATCCTGTTGATAACAGTTCATTCTCAAAGCAATGCAAAGGCAGTTCTTCATGCTCCATTCAAAAATGCTTAGCTGCTGGAGGCTGGGACACGGTGAAGATGGAGTCAGTATCTAGTGTGATACAGTGGTCCACGTGACAAGGTTGGGAGTGTCTGACCACATAGACCCTCTGTGGGCTAACAAACTTGAGATGGGATGAGTACATAACAAATGTAGTCGGGAAAGCAGATAGTGAGTGAATTCCATGGGAAAACAGAGTTCACCACGAAAGCCAGACCAATGATTAGATTTAGGGAGGAGAGTTGGACAATGAGCATTAAGGTAGGATACCAAGAAGATAGGACAGGGGTAAGGAAGTAGAGTGACAGATGGATTGAGGGGCAGTCCAAGGCCAAAGACCAGAACAGTGAAGGAGCTCAAGTCCTAAGTTTTTGTGCTGACAGCAGATAGAGCAGTTTGGCCAACAGCACTTGGGTAGCACAGAGCATGGACCGCCCCTCACTGAAGGCTGCTCAGCTTCCAGAGCACTGACTGGTTTCCTGACCTTGATCCTGGCTCTGGATGATGCTATCAGGAATTTATAATCCCTGAGACTACTTGCTAGGCGAGGGCTCTAAAACCTACCTAGAGCAGCAAGTGGCTAGAACCATCACCTGTTACAAAACTTATGATCTGGAGATGATTGTAGTGGCATTAAGATGTCTCTGGGTGGCACAAGCAGTAAAGTACTCAACTACTAGCTGAAAGACTGACTGTTTGATACCACCCTGAGGAACCTCCGAAGAAAGACGTGGTGATCTGCTTCCAAAAGCTCACAGTCTTGAAACCCCTATGGAGGACAGTTTTACTCTGCCCACCTGGGAATTATTCACTGGCAACTGGTTTGGTGTGTCTGTAGTTCGTGGTGGTTTTAATGGTTTTTACATGGAAATGGAAGACTTCCATGGGACTGTACATCTTTACCCATTCTCTCCATGACCTCCAATCCCCACTGTGTCTTCCAGTATCACTTCAACCCCTCGCAGTCCATCCTGGTGATGGAAGGTGATGACATTGAGAACATCAACCGTGCCCTCCAGAAGGTCTCCTACATCAACTCCAGGCAGTTCCCAACAGCAGGTGTGCGTCGCCTGAAGGTCTCTTCAAAAGTCCAGTGAGTGCTCATGGGATATTCTCCTGCAAAGCTGAGTTCTGTTTTCTGTTTTCATCATTGCTGTCATTTAAAAACATTTTCATTCTCCCACTTTCCCTATGAGGGTACATCAGTGGATCTGTGTTTTCATCTGAAGGAAAATGTTCTGTTATTTTGCCCATACAAACCCAGTTTGCTTTATTTTTGACTGCACTGAGCTAATGCCTAGAACTTAAGACCTAAGGACTTACTTGATGGCAGTGGGTATTTTTTTCATTCATTATACGATAAAGGAGCCCTGGTGGCACAGAGGGTTATAAGTTGGTCTGCTAACCATAAAATCAGCAATTCAAAATCACTCACTGCTCCCCAGGAGAAAGAGGAGGCTTTTTGCACCTTAATGATTAATAGCCTTGGGGCGGTTCTACTCTGCCGTATAGGATCACTATGAGTCAGAATTGCCTTGAGGGCATGGAGTTTGTTTTCTTATGTTGTGTTTGTTTGTTTTAATTGTACGATAGAAAGGAGCCCTGGTAACAGTGGGTTAGACCACAAGGTCAGCAGTTCGAAACCACTGGCAACTTCACAAGACAAAGATGAAGTTTTGTAGTCTCAAAAAGAGATACAACCTTGAAATCTGACAGAGGTAGTTCTGATCTGTCTTATAGGGTTGCTTGGAATTGGAATTAACTCAGTGCCAGCGGTTTTGCTGGTGTGTTTGGGTTATGATTAGAAGGAACCCAATGGGGCAAATGTTTAAGCACTCAGTGAAGAAAGCAAAAGGTTGGCATTTGGGAACCACCAGAGACGCACGGCAAGGCAGGCCTTGTGATGAGCTTCTGACTGGCCTTGGTCCTGAGTACTCTCAACAGCATATCTACTCTACACATGTGGGCTCTCTGGGAGCTGGGACCCATACAACAGCTATGAAGAACAATACCGATCAGGGATGGAGGGCCTGGGTCTGCAAATGATTAACATGTTGAGCTTCTGACCCCAAAGTTGGAGATTTCAAATCTCCCCAGATGTGCCTCAGTAGAAATGCTTGGTGGTCTACTTCCGAAAAAGTCACCATTGAGGGAGGGAGTACAGTTCTCCTCCCTACTCGAACACACCTGGGGTCAGCCTAGGCTGGGATTGCCTGCCTGGCACTATTTCCATCTTGCTTGTACTCAGGAACAGGGAGTGCATGACCAGTCCATTCCGCCCCCACACCTGATAGGGCACCTTGTGTGAAGTCCTCAGAGACCCAGCACCCACCCCGTAGAAGGGTTTTCCCCCCGGGATCTCAATTAGTAAGGTGTATAGCCAACAGTTAGCTTCCCCAGACCCTGCCAAATCTAAGAGCAATCCAGTCCATTCAACTTCTAGTGGCCCTTTAGGACAGAACAGAACTGCCCCCTCCAGAGTCCACGATGGTCACTCATTGTGGAAGCAGACTGCCACGGAGCACCTAGTGGCTTCCAAACATTGACTCTTGGGGAGCAGTATCCGAGCTCTTTCACAAGCTTTAGCAACTCCGCCAGCAGGTGCTTTACCACCCAAGACTGATACACACAATAAGTCAGTGCTGCCCAGCTAATGCTGCCGCCAATGTCTTGCTTCAAGGATAATTAAAGGTCTAAATGCTACTTGTCACTCACACAGAAAGTTCCCATTGCTCCAGGGGCCCATCTTTGGAAGTCCCTACTAGATGGCTAGTGGTTTGACTTTCCATCTGAATGTCTGCCGACATCCTTGGGCCCTCGCACAGTCCAGATGCCGTATAACAGACCAGCAGTGCCAACGCTGCCTGTAGCCCGGCGACAATGCAGCCTGTAGCCCACGGATTGTATTGGTGCCCCCGCCCCACTCTTCCTGCAGGTGTTTTGGAGAAGACGTGTGCATTAGCATCCCCGATGTGGACGCCTACGTGATGGTTCTGCAGGCCATCGAGCCCCACATCACCCTGCGGGGAACCGAGCGATTCTGGAGGCCTGCCGCTCAGTTTGAAAGTGCCAGAGGGGTGGTCCTCTTCCCAGACATCAAGATTGTGAGCACCTTTGCCAAAGCTGAGCCTCCCGGGGACCTGAAAACCACAGGTACAGTTGCCTATGGGGTTGCAAGGAAAGTGAGCTACACTGTTCGCCATGGCAATGACAAACATTAGTTAAAAACAAACAACTCTGGGCACAATCCCAACGGCCTCCAGGAGAGGCATGGCTTTGCAAATGGCGCCACACCTATATAAAGGCCAGGACGTCACTAAGAAGGCATTGTGCTAAATCAGCGGTTCTCAACCTGTGGGTCATGACCCTTTTGGGGGTTGAACGACCTTTTCACAGGGGTTACCCGATTCAAAACAGTAGCAAAATTACTGTTATGAAGTTTCAACAAAAATAATTTATGGTTGGGGGCGTCACCACAACTTGAGGAACTATATGAAAGGGTTACGGCATCAGGGAGTTTGAGAACCACTGTGCTAAATGATAAAGTGCAAAAAGCAAGGCCCCACATGACCTAGTGTCTGCACCTGGAATGACCCCCACCATGTAAGGGAAGGGGGGCGTTGCCTGGGTCTGGACCCAAAGGCAGCCATCCTCTCAGAGAAGCTCGGTGACAGCCAATTTGTCTCTGCTTCCCTCCACTTTTCTGCAACTGTAAAAATGTACCATAACGGCCCGGTGCTCTTTTGATAATCAGAAGAAAATCTGAAGAAGCACCAACAGTAAAAGCGGTAGCTGCAGTCTAACTCGTACACAGGAAACGGCAGGTCCCATTTCAGAAATATCACGCTGAGCTCCCAGGACACCTCCATGTGACTGTGAAGTAACTGGAATGTAAGCATGTTTTGGGAGGAAAGTCACAATAGTATGGGGACAGGGAGTGGAGAAATGGAGGGAAAGGAAGAAAGGAGAGAGGGAGGGAGGGGAGGAGGGAGGGAGAAGAGGGAACCTTTGCTGCTTCCTCCAAGAGGATTCTCACTTTCCACTCTCCCCCTCCCAAAGTGGCCGCTAATGATGTGCTGGTGCCAGTGGGTCTGAGTCCCAGAAGGGTTGCTTCTGTAATCATCCCAATTCCCCATTGCCTAAACCACCCCGGTCTCCGGTAGGTGGGCTGCCTGGAGAGGCAGCCCTTCATATCTCATAAAAATAGATGGTGCTTTACCTGCTGCCTGGGCCTGGCACTTTCTTACTTGCATGCCAAGGAACATTAGGTCGTGTGATCTTTCCTCTTTCCCTGTCCTCATTTGTAGCTAAACTCAGAGCAGAAAGAAGAGCCTACAACCTCCGTGGTTACGGGCAGGGACAGTGCATTTGCATTCCTTCCACCTGAGGCCAGCACCCAGGCAGTGCGGGTAGGGAAAAAGCAATTATCTGGGCCCACATTTCACCTTCTGTTTATGAGAGTGCATGCCAAGCACACAGCCAAGTGGCCCATAGCTATTATTAGGACTTGATATTTTACCCTCGTTGATAGGATCATCATGGGTGCCTCGATCCAGCAACCTACTGGCATTTGCCACAGAGCCTCAATGACCCCCTCCCCCTGGTCTCCTGCCCCCACTGGCTCACGCTTTGTGCTCTTTCATTCTTCGATCCCCTGTGCATCTGGCACTCTCCTCTGCTCAGACTGTGCACGCTGCTGGCCCGTCGCCCTCCCTGCCCTTCCTTAGTGCTGGCAACCAGGTTTCTGCACTGCCACATAGACCTTGGGTGGGTGGGTGGGCTCAGTCCCCGGCGCTGTGTGCTCCCAGCACTGTGTGCGCCTGATTGCTGAGCCTTCCCTATAACCAAGAACATTTGCTAAACAAGACCAGATGCTCCTGAGGGATCCCTTCAGATCAGTGGGAATCAAGAAGAGTGAGAAAAAGGACCGTACTGGGGTGCCTCCCACGCAGCAGGAACACTCAGCAGCCTCCTGGGGGCAGAAAGAAGCCGGATCCAGCCTAACACGATCGAAACCTCCGAGTGTGGAAAAAGCCTTGCCTGAAGTGTCTATCACTGTGCATTTAGAGTGTGCTAATAATAGCGCACAGCCATAGCGAAGATTGAAAAATTAAGCACACCGCACATTATTTATAATACATATCTAGTGAGGTCAAAAATAGTTCACTCTTAAAAAGTGAAGCAATACAAAATGCATTCACATTTCTTTCTCTCAGCTTTCGTGGATCCTTTTTAATTTATATTTTCATACATGTTTTATAATGTGTATACAATATATTAGTCCCTGGATGTACTTTTATAAGTAAATCTACCGACGTGAAAGCCTGTCTTCACGAATATTTGAATAAAAAGGTACAAGGTTCAAGATATCTGAAGACCCCCACCTCTGAGACGGAGTCAGAACAACATGGGTCTTGTCCCGCTTCGCTCCTCGGGAGAACCCATTCATCTCGTCCCTATAACCTGTGTTTCCTCATTGGCGAGGTGGGGGTCGGAAGAGCACCCCTCTTCATGGTGGCTGTTCTCTCAGAAGTGCCTCGGAAGAAAGGCTGATGATCTACCTCTAAAACGTCCGCAGTTGGAGCCCCCACCCCTCACCCGCGCCCTCCGAGCACAGGTTTCCTCTGACGCGCAGGCGTGGCTGTGCGGCAGAGGGGCTCTGTGCTGTTGATGGCTGTGGGGTCCTGTTCACACCAGCACAGGAGAGTGCCCCATAAGCAAACACAGCACCTGGATTTGAAGGCCGGGTTTCCTGCTTCCTTGGCGCTTTCTCAGACATCCCTTTGTGGTCGTTGGCGTTGCAAAACCAGGCTAGGACAGCTAGCCTGACCAACCTGCTGAAGTTCATCCTGGGGCATAGGCTTAAGTATTCAAACATAGTACCAACCCAGCACCATTTGAGTGGTATGTATAACTGCTGCATGCAAGCCCTTGGGGTAGACACAGCAGACCGAGTCATACTAAGACAGTGATTGTGCCCTTGATAACCCGAGTCTGGTGGGGACACATCCTCACCACCACCACCCCCGCCCCCCACACAGAGATTACGCAGAGAAAGCTACAGGAACATGGGAGAGAGGCATGTATCTCTGCCCTCAGATTAAGAGCTATTGCTTATTGACTACTATGTGCCAGATACTTTAAATTTTATTTATTTATTTTTATTAAATACTTTTATTAGGGGCTCTTACATCTCTTATCACAATGCATACATCCAACCATTGTGTCAAGTACATTTGTACATAGGTTGCCACCATCATTTTCAAAGCATTTTCTTTCTACTTGAGCCCTTGGTATCAGCTCATTTCCCCCCTCCCTTCCCCGCTCTCCCTCTCTCATAAACCCTTGATAAATTATATACTATCATTTTCATATTTTACATCATCCTCTGTCACCCTTCGCCCACTTTTCTGGTGCTCATCCCCCTGGGAGGGGGTTATATGTCGATCCTTGTGATTGATTCCCCCTTTCTACCCCTACCTTCCCCTTATCCTCCTGGTATCTCTACTCTCATTGTTGACCCTGAGGGGTTTAGCTATCCTGGATTCCCAGTGTTGCAGGCTTGTACTTTTTGCAATCCCCTCAAAACCCTTGCTCTCTTTATGGCTGAGGAAAGGGAGTGCTAGGCAATTTGTCTAACGCTAAACAACTTACTAATTGTAGAACTGGCATTGTAGATCATACCGGTGTGTCTAGAGTGCCCTTTCCACTAAACCATGCCACCCAAACTTGGCACCTGTCTGGAGTTAGTCTCAGGCCACAGACCTGAGAGTGTCACTTAGGCAATCGAGACAAGCAGTGGACGTAGTACCCAGGAGCTCCAAACCTCAACCCAGTGTGCGATAACAGAAGGAGATGAGAAAGAGCTATTACCTGAGCTCCTGCTTATGCCTGTGCTTCCCATGTGTCTGTCATTCAATAGCCCCCAGAGCCACGGTCTTAGAAGAAATGCTGCACAATCTAGATTTCTGTGATATTTTGGTGCTTGGAGGAGACTTGGACCCGAGGCATGAGTGCTTAGAGCTCAGCCACAGTGAACTCCACCAACGACACCTGGATGCCACCAACTCCACTGCAGGTTACTCCATCTATGGTAAGTCCATGCCTGACACCTGTCCCCCAATGACATCTTTTCAGAATGACTTTCCCAGGAATCATTAATATGCTGGCAGCTTTGTCATCCATGGAGACATACTGAGAAGCCCCATGAATCAACTGACCCAAGCCCCATGGATCTCCTGACCTCAGGGCATGAATTTCTAAACCCGCGTTAGCAAGTTTCTCTAGCACCCTCTCAGAGTAGGTAGACTCCTTCTCTTACAGTTTGACTTCAGCAAATGTTACAACAGTGTTAGGAACATTAAAATCAAACATTTTAGGCACAATTCAATCAACACAGAAATGCTGTGGATTAGGGCAATTGACTGCTTGAATTTCTGCTTCTTCACATTGTCTATCTGTGAGCAATTTGATGGCTTCAGGAGGACCCCGAGCCCCAGCCCGGCTCTCCTGACTCCAGCTCCTCCTCCTCCTCCTCCTCCTCCACCTCCTCCTCCTCCTCCTTCTCTTCTGCCTCCTGACAACAGGTATGGTCTCTTGTCACAGGTGTGGGCTCCATGAGTCGCTATGAGCAGGTGTTACACCACATCCGCTACCGCAACTGGCATCCAGCTTCACTTGAGGCCCGGCGGTTCCAGATCAAGTGCTCTGAACTAAACGGGCGCTATACTAGCAATGAGTTCAACCTGGAGGTAAGTGGAACCTGCTATTGCCAGGGAAGCCCTGGTTCCCCCATGCATGCCCTCCATCCGTCAGTAGGGCTGTTACAACTGGCGCATCTGCCACTCCTGTCAACAGCACCTCTCCCCATCTTCCCAGGTCAGTGTCCTCCATGAGCTCAGAGTCTCAGACCAGGAGCATGTCAATCACCTCATCGTGCAGCCTCCCTTTCTCCAGTCCGTCCATCACCCTGAGTCTCGGAGCAGCATCCGGCGCAGTTCAGGTAGGGTACCCAGGAGGACTGAACTCCGATCATCAGAGGCCGCTGTGATTTCAGATCTCCTAACCAGAGAATTATGGTGCTGCAGCCATGGGTGCCCAGTGCCAATGGAGGGACCCAGGGATAGACCCTTGTACACCCCGCTTCCGAGGCACCCACTGCCTCAGGGGAGTCGGGAAAGTCAGAAAAGAGTTACACAAACATATAAGGGGCTTAAGAATGTTTATGGGCAAAGTCCAGTATCTGTTTATTCCATTGTTTCAACAAGTGTGACCCCTCATATAATGACAAAGGTTCGTGCTGTGGACCGAGGAAATAGTTTGCTACGCCATTCATGCCCGACTCAATGCTATGCCTTCCATGATGCTTTCCCAGAACCCTTTACACACATACATGCACACGGACAGCACAGCACATGGCAGGGCCCCTGCCCTTCCTTGTGTTTCACCGTTAACCGTGTCACTATCTGGTAGGCACCGTGTGTCCCTCCTAAACTCCACCTGCCTGCTTATAGTGAGAGCTTCTCTGTCATTTGAGAACAGAGCAAGGGAGAGCAGAGTACTAGCATTGATTCAGCATGTATTATATGCCTCCATGAGCCTTGGTGATGCAGTGGGTTAAGTATTGAACTGCTAACCACAAGGTCAGCAGTTCAAATCCATCAGTCTTGCTATATGAGTTGGAATTGACTCAATGGCAGCAGGTTTGTGTCTGCCCCCACTCCCACCCCCAGTTACATGCCTATCCCTGAGCCTGGGAAGTCAGCTGGGTCTATTTACTCTTCACAGGTACCCAGGGGGTCACTCCCTGCCGTTGAGCTGGTTCCAATACATTGCCACCCTACAGGGCAGAATAGAACTGGTCCTGTGGGTTTCTGAGATGGTCACTCTTTACAGGAGTAGAAAGCCTCATCTTTCTCCTCTGGAGCAGCTGACCTTGCAGTTAGGAGCCCAAAACATAGCTCGCCCTGCCACCATGAAATGGGGATTACTAAGTCTTCCGTGTCGATGATGAAGCTTAAGCTGCCGGCCTAGAGAGCTCTAGCCAGGAAGTGGCGGGACAGGCTTCCGCCTGCACGTGGGTGTGATTTCACCTCTGCTGTAGCTCAGCAACGAGCTAGAGCTTTGTTCCCGGCCGTGAGTGGGTCCTTCCTCCTTTCAGTGGTCCCAAGCATCGCCACAGTGGTCATCATCATTTCCGTGTGCATGCTGGTGTTTGTCGTGGCCATGGGTGTGCACCGGGTCCGCATTGCCCACCAGCACTTCCTGCAGGAGACGGAGGCTGCCAAGGAGGCCGAGATGGATTGGGATGACTCTGCACTGACCATTACTGTGAACCCCATGGAGGTAAGCTGCCCCCGAGGGCTGGGGAGCTGGGAGCAGGACGCTTTGGCCTCTAGCCAGCGCAACCCTTCCTGTGCTTCAAGTCTAGCATAGGTCCACTCCTTCTAGAAGCCACACCCCAGCTGTTCTAACCCGCTGGGCTTTCTCTTCTTCAAACTCCGTCCTCACTCTCAATCTGAATGAACCATAGTTTTCCACCACCATGGAATGAAAACACATGAATCGTTCTCACCCCACAAACATCTGAATTGTCTTAAGCAAGCACCATTTGGTGCCTGTCCCCCGCCTCCTGTGTAGTATTTCACTTACAGAAAATCAGCATTAAATTCTTGACTAACTGACAGTAAAAATGAGATGCCTTTGCTCCATGATGCCCACACAGCTCACTTCAAGGCTTAGAATAGGTTAAAACAAAACAAAGCCAATAACAGCACCTGCTGTTTAGTGAACCACCTTTATGTAGACTGTACAGGGTTCTCTCTCTATGCTGCCTCTTTCAATCTTCACAAAATGCCCATGAAGGAGGAGTCTGCTTAGATAGCAGCATGGGAACCAACTCAGAGATGAGAGGTAGATGGCTCAATGGCACAGCTGGTGAAGGCAGAGCCTTCATTCAAACTCAGTATGGCATCACTTGTAAGTTCATTGATTTCCAGTGAGCCATCAGCTCCCAGACTCTAGTCATGGCATCCAAGGCCCCTTCCCTCCAGGCCAGGCATATCCTGCCCTCAGCCCTGCCTGTAGGTGCTGGGTGTCCCGTAGAGGCAGAGATAGGAGAGCAGGGACAGATCCATAAGAGTCCTTGGAAAAGAAAAAAAAAAAAGAAGCCCTGTCTGCTCCCCTGTCGCTCACTACTGATCTCAGGGCTGGCGTGCCCAGGCGCTTGGCCACTCTGAGAACACACGCCGTAGTTGTAGTGCTACACTCACCCTGGTGGGGACTCCGACATCCCCACACTCAGCAGGCTGAGCTCTGAGGAGCATGGGAAACCAGATGAGGGCGCCTGCAGCAGTCCGAGGATAAGGGCTCACGTGTCATTGAGGCACAAGGAGGGAGATCCTCTGGGGCTAGAGTGTTCAGGGAAGATTCAGTGGAAGAGACTGGCCCAAGCACAGCTCTGAAGAAGGGGTAGGATTTGGGATGGGCAGAGGTAGAAAAGTAAGTATTCCATTAAGTCCAGGGAGGGCACACATCACCTGTGTCCTGTGTCACCCATTCAAGACCCATCTAGGGGTGACATGTGAGATGTGGCCGGGAGAGGGTCTCTAGCACCACAAACTCCTTCTCTCCCTGCAACCTAGAAACACGGAGAACCAGGACGTGGAGAGGACGAGACGGAAGAGGAGGAGGAGGAAGTAGAGGAAGACATCAGCTCCAGCAGCAGCGACTCGGATGACAGTGAAGAGGAGGAGGAGGGGGAGGAGGAGATGGGCCGAGGCAGACATGGGCAGAGTGGAGTTAGGAAAGCCCAGCTGGAGTGGGATGACTCCACCCTTCCCTACTAGCACCCGGCCATCTGCGCCCAGCCTGTGTGTCCCTTTTGTAAACATGTTCCCCCCACTGTCTGCTCAAGTTTATCACACCTTGCCTCTGGTTTCTGTGACAGGTCTGGAAGGCCTGCCCCAGGCTTCTGCAACACACTCCCCTTCATTCCGTGGATACTCCTCATGTCCCAGCCCTGGGGAAATCCCAAGAAGCCCAGCATTGGCCTAAGTGGGGACTGTAGGCTGGCCTTCCTCCTGTAGCCCCTCACTCGCCCTCTCTGAGTTCCCCCCGCATCCTGGAGCTCACGTGTAAAATTCTGCCTTTGCTCTTTTCTGCAGGGGAGAGCTTGGCCTTTCTGTCTCTCGCCTCTCCTAGTCTCACTGCCCCCCCCCCCAAGCGCTTGGTTTCCAACTCACTGTGCGTGCACCGACTAAATGGCCCCCCTCCACACAGAGCCACAGGTTCTCCTTACCCAGCCCCTCCAGGCTGCAGGGAGGTGGGGTGAGCTCACACACCTAAGGTCTTGTTACTTAACACACTTTTATGGACAGCCCTTGTTGAGGCAGGATAAATTCACAGGAAAAGGAGTACATGTGTACACACACACACACACACACACACAGTGTGGAGGGCCTCCATGTTAGCTCCTTTCTGAGGTCACATAAGCTTCAGTGAAAAACCAGAAACCAAGAGCAGGTCTTTGACAATGGCAGAGCCTGGTCCACAGCCAAGTGACTGAGCTGGGCTTCCTGACCAGCTGGGATGCTCACCGCTCAAAATCATCGCACCCAGCATGCTGTCAACTCAGACATGGTCCAAGGCTCAGCAGCCTAGCAGCCAAGAGTCTGCGGAAGGGCTGATGATACAGCACAGGGGGCTTCACACGGATGCAAATCAGGAGGATGGGTGGAGGTGGTTAGGCTGTGTCCCAGACTAGACGGCGGCCTGGGCTTGACCAGACTCCTCATCACAGGGTCTCATGGCCCGTCTCCTATTTCACACTTTTTCTTTTGAGAAGACACATTCCTCTCCGATGTTTTAGAGCTCAAGCGTAAACTGTTCTGAGAATAAATGGAATGTTTGGACATTTCACTGCTAGGAATTAGAAGCATGTTTGCGATAATAGCTTTTTCTTTCTTTTCCCCATAAAAGGAGCAGCCTTTGGGGGGAGGGCAAAGGTATCTAAAACCTAATTCTCTCTTCCTTTCTTCTTTTTTAATAAGGAAATCTTTTCCATCTCTGTCCTAACACGGACACTTTATGATGAGAACGGTTGCTATAGGAACTGGTCTGTGATCTTTCGTGCCCAAGAAACAAGCTGGCAAGAATTAAGGCTGTGGTAGGACTTTTGTGACACTCGGAAATGAGCTCTGTTTAAATTGTGAGCTCCTCTTGCCCTCAGTACCCACAGTCCACTCTCCGCTGCCCAGCCCTCCCTGCCTCAAGTCCAGCCCATTTTGGCTGGTCCCTGGTCAAAGTGGCATTTGGGTTAAAAAGACAATTTAAAATCTGTCCCTGTGCTATCAAAGCAGGGGGTGCTTAAGAAGTGAGAGAGGATTACCAATGTCTTCTGGTATGATCCCCCACCCCCCAATCCCCCCTCAGGGTCTGTGGCAGGGGCAGGTCTTTACAGGCTTCTGATTTGGGAGACCCTCTTCATGCAGCTGGTCCCATCTCCTAAAGTGCTTTTGACGTCTGTTCCCTCCATGGAGTCTGGAGATGACCCTGTGAGGTAGTTGGGCCCTCTCCTGTTAGACACAGCTTGTCCATGAGTGTTCTGAGGCTCGGAGATGGCTCGGGGTCTTCGCAGAGACACTCAGCATTACAGACAAGACTGGACGCCCCGGCCCCCATTCCTGCCCACAACCTTGATGCTTCTTATGTACGCTGTGATGCACCTAATAGGCACTTCTGGATACTACCGTGTGCTAAGCGCTCTCCCCACACCTGTGCCAATGGGGAGACTATGGGAGATCAGCTCTTGTCCTCAGAGACTTGAACGAGAGCAGAAACAGTCATAGAAACTATCCAGAGAGATGAGAGGGAGGGAGAGAAGTCCCGGGAAGCAGTGGGACATGTCCACACCCTCGACTGCTGGACAGCGATATGGAGTGCACGCTCGCTGGCAGGAAGTAGACGCTCCTCTTATGGAGTCTCCCAGCCAAGTCGTCTTTTTTTTTTAAGTCAGGCTGTCTCTGCACATTGGCAAGAAGGACATTTCTAGGATGGTTAGTCCTCACAGTCTCCTTATTCAAATAATAGATGTTCAGCTAAAAGCTGGTTGCAATCTTCAGAAATTATGGTGGTGGAGTGAATACTTTACATGTTTAAAAGCAGTTCTTTTGAAATTCAATTTTGGTTTTAAATACTTAAGTCTTATGCTGAGGAGAGCACTTCCTCTCGGCTTAGTCTTTCAGGGTTGGTTGGGGTCCGCGTGCCCTTTGGCTGCCTCTGATGCTTCATTGTTTATTCCTGGGGAGGCAGCCCTTTGGAGCATTGTGAAGCCTGTGTGTGTCTGGGGGGCTTTGGCCAGGGGAGGGGAGAAAACAAGTGAGAGTGGTACTTAGCTAGGGCAACGGTGAAGAATCATTTGAGGAGGTCTTTGGTGACTACACAGATTAACAGCAATCCAAAGGAGCCCTTTCCCTTAGCTCTGGCTGTGAGGGGTCATATTGTGAGGCAGTGGGACTATGATGTTGCATCAGCAGACATATCATTTCCCAATTACCAATTCATCACTATGGTGAGCATATCACCGGAGCCAACCCAGCCCCAACCCACAACTGTCTAGTTCATAGAACTCTGTATGTCCAGGATTTCCAGGAAGCCCTGGCAGTGTAATGCTCACTGTTTGGGCTGGGAACAGCAAGGGCAGCAGTTCAAAACCACCAGCTACTCTGAGGGAGATAGGCAGGGCTTTCTACTCCCCAAAAGAGGTACAGTCTGGGAACTCACGGGGGCAGTTCTACTCTGTCCTATAGGGTCACCATGAGTCCCCATCAACTCGATGGAATTAAGAGGTTTGACAGGATTTCCAGACTGACACATCTTTTTTTCCATTAAGGGGTTGGTGGGTTTGAAGTATTAACCTTTTGGTTACAATCAAGGGTTTTAAGCACTCTGTCACCAGGTCTCCTTAAAATGGGGACAATTATGTAAAAGCAATGCAGCTTCAGGGAGTATCCAGGTGAGTGATGGGTGACATAATGTGCCCTCCATGAGCTATTCTGACCACAAGTGAAACCTATCATTAATCAGCCAACCCTGATCCAGCCTCCATATGGCTAGCATCCCAGAACCAAAACTCCCAGATGGCCTGGACAACCTGTGACCTCTCATCCAGACGTCAGCATGCAGGCAGATGCAGGCGCATGCCAGGGAGGAGCAGCTGACCAATTTGGCCCCAGGCCGGGCGCTGTAAAAGCCACAGACAAAAATAGAACAGCTCAAACGTCTTGGGTGATTCCCGTGGCCATCCATCAGAGGAAGAAGAGCTTGGGTGGGGGAAAGAGCTGTACAGGAGTTACTCACACGGAGTATAGGACCAGGGTAGGAGCCACTCTTTAGTCAGCTAATTAATGGCCTGTCTTAAAGACTGCTAAAAACATTCTCCAGTAGATTTGATCAACCGAGTCCTGGTGGCGTTGGGCTTCTAATCACAATGTCAGCAGTTTGAATCCGCCAGCCACACCTCAAAAGGATGAGGCTTTCTACTCCTGTACAGAAACCGGCAGAGCCTAGGTCTACCTTTTCGACAGGGTCACTATGTGTCAGAATCGGCTCAATGGCAGTGAGTTTGATTAAATGGCATAAACCTGACACTTAATGGTTTCCGTGGGATCTCTTTGAGCTATTACTTCCTTGCATTGATTCAACCACCCTATCAGAGTTAGACCAACTCCCTTTGGCATGAACAGCCCCCTGCATTCCCCTGACTCCTGGTTTGAAACAATGCCTTACACTCCTGTCCACCAGGGGGCGGCAGACCGTTTCTGTAAAGGACCGTATAGTAAATATTTTAGATTTTGCTGGACAACCAGTCACAAGTACTCAACTCTGCTGCGCTGGTATGGATACTGTCCACTCAAAACTAAACATTGTGTCCCAGTAAAACATTACTTATGGATTATGGGAAGCCAGGCAATTTGATTCATTTAATTTCCACATGTGAAATTTGATTCTTTTAATTTTACTTTCAGTCATTGAAAAACGTAAAATTATGTTTGCACCGGTTTACAAAAACTAACAGGAGGCCAAATGTGGCTACAGGCCATACTTTGCTAACTTCATGCCTGAAAGCAGCCTTCTATCTGCCAAGAGAAAGCAAATTGCTGCCTTAGAAGCCTTGGCCTTTCTAAGTGTAATATGAAAACCCCGTAGTCCTCCATCAAGTTCTTTTAGAAGGCTGTGCTTGGGGAAGGAAAAAGAAAAGTATATATATAAGAACAAAAGCAAATCACTTGTTACTTGTTGAATCGATTCAGACTCAGACAGAAAGGATGTTGAAAGGCTGGGCTGCAGGAAGCTGACTGATCCCTGAGCAGTAGCTCTGGGAGCCATGGGTGAACTCCCCTCAGTCTCCGTGCTCCCTTGCCAGCCAGCCCAGAACTATTTCTGGGTAGGAGTGTTCATTATCACAGATGGAGTTTCAGGCCAGCCCTGCTCGGGTCAGTGTTCTGCAATGATCCTAAAGACTTGTGACTGTTCGAATCAGTACCAAGCCCGACCCAGCAGACATTAAAATGAGCAGTCTGCTTGTTCTTGTGACTCAATATTAGCATGAAAACAAAAAAGAGGGCCTCTTCTTCACTTTCTCTCATTGAATGAACTAAATACATTTTATTAAGAAGGGGAAAGGGGCTACTTCAAAAGAATTTGCAAGCCCAAAATAGATTATTTCCCAGCCTTTGGGGGATCCCCAAAGCTGCATGCAATGCCCTCGGAATGGCTAGAATGGTACCAGAGTCCCAATCTGCAACATGCACTGATTGAGGCTGACAAGCCAAAGTCCTTGGCTCAAGTTCATTTTCATCTAACAGTTTCCATTGTCCAGCTGTGGGCAAAGGAAATGAGCAGTGAACATCTTGAAGTCTGTTCCAGCACCCTCACTCCCCTGTCTTTATTTTCTCTGCCTGATAAATGTATGCTGTACTGACTCTAGCTCTTGCTCTCGTTTCCTCTTGGCATGAACTGGAAATGGAGGCTGGCTTTACAAGGGCTATGAATTAGGAGCCAGGGAGACAATAAAGAGACTGCAAAAGTCCCCTGCACTGGAACCAGGAAGCAATCAGATGCTCCCTGCATGCGGTCAGTGAGCAGATGGGATTTGGTGTTTGCAGCGATGCTCGATGTAATTCTGCAAATCCTCCCTGGACACCCGTGGTGTGTCAGGCCGTGTGCCAGGTATGGGAGGAGGAAGGATGAACGAGGTCTTGTGAGGTGTTGAGATCTTCCTTCACCACGTTAGAGGATGTCAGAGTAGTCCAGACTGTTTGGGGCAGAGGAGTCACGGCTTGGGGAGAGAGGCTGACTTGCTTGGGAAGTTCTCATGCTGGCTTGGATGGTAGATATGTGCTGGGAAGCATCCTGGTGCATGGTGCTGAGAGAGGCTGATGCGATCTCTGGGAAGAAAGCAATGTGTCACTTGTCATTGTTGCAGGGTGCCGTTGGGTCCGGTTTCAGTCCATCGGGTCCAGGTGACTGAGGAGAACTGCCCTGTAGACGTTCCTCAGATCGAATCTATATGGATCAGCTCTCCAGGTCTTTTCTCCTGACGAGGATCAGGGTAGGTCCAGTGGTTGGCCTTTCAGTTAGCAGCAGCCAAGAGCATAAACCTTGTGCCATGAAGGTCCCTTTTGTATCTCTCGATGCCTCATTGTGCCCATGCTTGCCGTAGTTCATTTGAGAGGGAAGCCAGTCACCCTGCTGATGCCTGAGATTCAGTGGCTGGACCAGTGACATGCTCAAAGGTGAATTGCAGCCAGTCAGACATGGAAAGTTAGGAAGGGTCATCGAGGCAAGGGGTCAGCATGAACAGAGACCTGGATCCCCAACTCTTGCCTTACATGGACTCACAGGTTACATTCTCAAGGCAAGAAGAACAACTTATCTATTTTAGGACATTCTGTACCCAGTACACAGCATGTGCTTGATAATATTTCATCGCATCCCAGTAGTTACCTGACCTCAATAAATGGACTTGGGTTGAAAAAGTAGGCCGTCCCCAAAGAGTAAGACGCCTCCACCTTCTCTCTTAGTTTGTGAATCAAGGTCCTTGCGGAAGTCAGAAGGAGGGGGAGTGGAAGTGCAGAAGAGGGTGGACCACATTCTGGGCACCCAAATGCAAAAAGAGCAGGGGCGGGATTGTTCCCAGCTGGAATCATGAAAGGAGTCCCAAGGCGAGGAGCAGAGGAGATGAACCCTGATGAATCCCACTTACTCCTCCCTGTAAGTCCTGGGCAGGATCCAACACAAGAGAGAACCCTAACTTGTTAATGACTCGGCCTCTGCCACTCTCAAGTTTTCTGCCAGATTCTTGCTGAGGAGACTCATCAAGATGAAGCCCAAGCCCCCTTAGACTAATGCAAAGAGGGCAACAACGTGAAAAGGACCCAAACACAGACGGTGTGTAGTAGTCACAGGCAACAGAAACATGTTGGCTTTCATGTCTGTTTGACTTTCATTTTAAGTGAAAATGCATCTCTGCTTTCTGGACGCTTTTTCCCCTGAGAATTTCAGATCAAAACGGTGCACAGAGGGAGAAAGGTTATGGGTTCTTTGCCCCAGCAGAAAGAGCTATCAGAGATGTGAGTTCAGAGCCCACAGGTTGTGCAGGTGTCTAGAAGCAGAGGCTATACCCACAAATCTCAGCGACAGATATTCAGGACGTAGGGAGAAGGGAAGGGACTCAGTAGGACCTCTGTGACAGAGGGGTTGTGCTGGTGCCTCTGGGTCACAGATAGGAATGTCATTTGTGTATTCAGTCTTGGAGACAACACTCATCCTCTATTCTACTCAGCTGGGAAAACAAGAACCTAGAGCCCACCCTCACTGACCCGAAGCTCCCGTAGGAGGCTGTGACGGAATCTAGAAGAGCACATTGTCACTTGCCAAGTTTAAGGTGATGGAAATAAGCAGATGCCTTTCTTTTCGGAGGGGGAGGAAGAGAGACCCCATACCGAGGGCAGATCACTCAAGAAGCAAGCAAAACAATAAGGCAGGAATGGTGACTCAACCAGGGAAGGAATAAACACAGCCCCCACAAGAACTTTACTTCGTATGGAAAGCATAGCCAGCTTTCCAAAACGACAGCTCCATCTGACCATGGGACACAAAGGTGGCCAAATCACTTGCTTCCCGAGCCAGACCTCACTCTGATGGGCCCCCTCAAGAATAGACCACCTGGTTGCTTCCAACTTGACCTCCGTGACTTCCAAAGAGTTGTTGACATCCTAAGTTTGATGGACTTGATGAGAGATAAGAATGTGTTTAGAAAAGAAATTGAATGTAGAAGTTACTTGTTTCCCAAGAAATCTGTAGGTATTAAAAGTCGGGTGTTTATGTTATTGGCATGGGCATTATAATGTTGGTAGGGAAGAGAGTGATTTGGTGGAACATTCATTTGAGAGATTAGTGAGTGTGTTAAATATAAATTGTCAGAGGGAAGTAAGCTAAAGACAGCTAGCAAATATTACACGTATACATACCAAAGGTATAGATATCTGTATAGTACAGACATGAGAGGGAGAATCAAGATGTCAATATTCCCAACACAATTGCAATCCTTTAGAAGCACTGGTTTGTATGTTATACTTTTCCCTGTTTACTCTGAGCTCTCAATGCACTGGGACCAGTGAGTGGCACATAGTAGGGTTTTGATGAATATTGGAAATTGAATTTTTATAAATATTGGAAATATTAGAAAATACTGTC